ATTCTTTACTGAAACTACCGTCTCTGTACTCTAGCATTTCAGAGCCACAGGCCTAGAGATACTCTCGTATTTGCATGTGCTGATGTTAAGGCTTGCCAACCAGCAGTCGTGCGTCGTCTGAAGGCAACTGGAGGCCGAGCTGTTGCAGCAGCAGAAGCTGCTGCAGATTACCAGTACGCAGCGACAGGCTCTCGAACCCCTCACCCTCCTCTTGCGTTCGAATTGCCATTTTCTTCTGTTGGGGTTCAGTTCAATCAGCGGTAGCAGCAGCGGGGGAGGTTACTCCAGTGAAATGCCGCGATGAACACCAGAAAAAACACGATCTGGAGTGCCCATCAACCATCCACTTGCAACTACTTGCGAAGATTGGACCTGTTCAAACCACAGGTCTTCGTATTCTGTGATATGCGATGAATGTCGGAGAGTAGGAACTGGCGTTTACACAGTGTCATCAGTTAAGAGATGACGATGCACCGGTTCTCTTTTTTCGGGAGGTTTGCGCTCAACAAAGAGTCTTTTAATGATGCCAAAACCTTAAGATATACAATAGATATTGTAAAGATCAGAGAACTAACTGATTCTTGCTCTGCAGCTTCGCGCGTCCTGCGGTAGACGATGCTGGACTTCGAAGGCAGGAAGGCGCTTAACTTGCAGAGTTCAGGTTTTTCACCTTTTTCCAGCTTGGACGCTGCGATGTTGAGAAGTGTGAGCCTCGAATTGTGTATATATTGCACGCCGAGGCGTTTCAAACAAAAGCAAATATAAATACAATGAAAATATACACCCCAGCGAGGCGGTCACCTGCAGGTGACCCTCTACCGATGAGGCGCGTGAGCCACGCGACGCCCCGGTACTACGGGGCGTGCTGGTGCACAATTCAGACTTCAAAATATCCCGCTAATATAATAATATATATTATTAATAATTGTAGTCAAATATTTGATTTTTGTGCAGCTGCAGCCATCAGTCAAGAGTATCTTTCACAGAGCACAGCAGCCCCAGCATGAGACTCCTTGGCGCCTCCCATGGGGCAGCTGCTGGCCTTGGGGCCTTTAGCTAGCGGCCCCAGGGAGCCGGAGACCCCGAAGCAGAGGCATGTATATTAGCATCGAGATGTATATATTACATTTGTTGGGCTTGGGAGACAGAACTGGAGGAGATCTGCTCCTGTTTC